GTTCCTTTTCTATCCCTTTCATTTGTCCATCCTATCATCATTGATCTCCCCATATCCTATTAACAGTGCTTTAGGTTTTCTCCAAACACAAAGGAAACTGGCCATTAGTTATATGCATATCCCTTTATTAATAAAAGCGAGCAAATTTCTTATTATTATTATTAGAGAGGGTGGGTTTCCCCATGTACTTAGACCAGTTATTGGTCCATTGTGTGTCCCCCTTTAATTTCTACTGTCCCCATAACCTACCGGCACTGGTGCGTGCTATCAGCCCCGTTTAGCCAACGAGGTCGGCTGTTGGTACCTGTTATTCCCCCCATCTACCAGAGGCATTGGAAACTACTTGGGCAGGAAATTGTTGCCTAATTAATTTTGTTCAGAGGTCTCCTAGAGGCATGATCTTTTACATGCCGTAAATCTATGACACGGGACCCACGGCTTAAAGTCCCTCCCAGAGGACTTGTTCCCTGAATTTTTCTGCCCTTAAAAATTCTACGACCTCCGCCAGGTTTGAACCCCTGTACCTTGAGTCGTGAGGTGGGAACGTTACCCCTAGACTACGGAGGCCGCTAAGCAAATTTACTCATATCCATCCTTTCACTATTTTGTCATGTATATATTTCCTTAGTTTCTCCATCTTGTCTTCAGTGTCCCTAATGGCCACTTAACATAATTTTTTATTTGAGTTTTTCACAGCAATGATTGTTCAGGTTGAAGTCTTCTGGGTTGTGATGCTTTAACCCTGAAGATGGAGGCAACATGTTCTTCCAAAATGCCAGTATCTTCCTACAAGACTAGATAGTATTACAACCAAGAAGACCTCAGTGTAGTCATATTTGATTTCATCAGGGGAATCCCATTGTCTTCCATATGCGATACATGTTGATACTAATGCATTTTAATTTAACCAATTTCCTTGTAATGTGTCTTTCTGTATTTTCTGATTTCTAATTATACACACATGGTACTTAACAAAACTTCAATTCCTTTTTCAGAATGCAGCAGGAAGGACGTATACTAAGCGTAGGTGTGTATGGCTACCAGAAGAGATACGACCCAGAGAAGTATTACGTGTATATTGTGAAAGTAGAACGGGCCAATCAACCTGATCCTACGTACTTGTTTCGCTCATACAAAGAGTTCTGTGAATTTCATCAAAAACTTTGTCTCCTCTTTCCATTGGCTAAGTGCTACAGGTAAGCGAGCTAACTCTTGTATTTCTCAGCTTATTACTTGCATATTGTACGTACTATTTTTGTTTTTTTTTTCCCCTTAACACTTTCCCATGTCTGAAACAGTGGAATGCAGTAAAATTAAATTTCCCCTCCATGTTTAACATACTGAAGCGTAGTGTAAAAAGCACTTAAATTAACTGATTGATCTGATAACGTAAGTAGACAAAAATAACTCTGTGGCCTGTAGTCTGTAAGTGAGCTATACTGTCCGAGTGACCACTACTTGTTGAAATTAGTGCCAACTTTTGCAGATAGAGCGTGTCATGTGGTCAGTGCAACAGATCCCTGTGGCCCAACATAAGTAGACAGTGAGTTAAATGTTAATGGCAAAGGATTAACTAGCATACAGTACAGTAGTTTGGAGTAAGGAGTTGGGACTTGGACACCCTTAACACTATGACAGTTCATGCATGATCTGTTCTGCATACCCATTAAAGAACCTGAACCTAAAATGTTTGTGGTAGTTTGCTTATAGGGATCTCTTGATACTCAGTGAGGTCTGAAATGACTGTATCAGAGTCCCAGAAAGGATTTAACAGTGTCACAAGATAAGCAAAAGGGCCACTAGCTCACTTCCGGGTACAGGTTCTTGTACAGCTGATAGTTACTAATGTGATCATGAAATCAGAACCTAAATATTCATTATTTTGTTCATGAAGGCGCGCCATTGAACCATATCCTGTTGTAGCTCAGTTCAACCCACATCTTCGCAGCCCGTTCCCTAAAGCCTAGCTCAGTATCCTCCTATTTACGTCTATGCTCCCCATGTAGTACACTTTTCCTTGAGATTCCTTCTACTCATCCGCTTCATAACTTGTACTCTTCACCAAGTATAATTAGAATGATCAAGTCAAGGAGGATGAGGTGGGCAAGGCATGTAGCATGAATGGGGGAGAACAGGAAAGCATATAGGATATTGGTGGGAAATCCAGAAGGAAAGAGACCACTGGGAAGACCAAGGCATAGGTTGGTGGACAATATTAAAACGGATCTTAGATAGATAGACTGGGATGGTATAAATTGAATTGATCTGGCTCAGGATAGGGACCAGTGGAGGGCTATTGTGAACACGGTAAAGAACCTTCAGGTTCCATAAAATGCTGGGAAATTCTTGAGTAGCTGCACAGTTGGTGGCTTCTCAAGAAGGGCTCAGCTCCATGAGTGAGTGATTCTACTTATCATGCTCTTTGCATCTTTCTTAATTCTTGATAATGAAGTCATAATTACATATGCAAGCACCCATCACTGGGCTTTTGTTTGTGAGGTTACAGGCATGGAGATTTTCATTATTGTACTTCATCTCATAACTAATGAAGACATAAATGAACCTTACTTAGTATAAATCAGCGTGGCAGCTACTTCTTAGCTCTAAACATGTAACATGAATGATGCTATTGAATAAAGTTACGTTAGACTTTCATTATTGAGTGGGTTACCTCAGTGGTAATGCATCTGATTCCTATTGGATTCTTATCTTGACCACAACTTGCTGTACTCTGCAGTTTCTCTCATTAATGGTGAATGCTAGGATAGCAGTAGTGTAACTACTCACTCTCCAGTTCACTCTTTAAAGCCATCTTTACATCTTGTAGGGTGTGACACACCATAGATTGTTACTGACATTTTGGAGGAACTTGCTGCTTCCACCTTCAGGGTCAGTTTTCTTCCTGAAGGTATAGGCAGCAGATTTCTCCAAATGTTGGAAATAAACTACCAGAAGACATGGGTTTACAGTCCAGAAGGTAGTATACATAAGAATCACCACTGTGACAACCTCAAATCTTACATTCATGCATCTGTTTCAGTGCTTAGTTAATGAATGAAGGATTAATCAGTTTTTAAGGGCCCCCATACTCAACACAGTTTGGCCTTCCATTCAGCCTGCACAGTTGAAGACTGAAAGGCAAAACTGATGTGTGTGGTGTGGCTGGCTGGCCAATCGTTTGGACTGTTGGCCTGTAGGAACCCCATCAGTCCGTCAGTTCTACCTGCAGGACCGTAGCATGTGACGTGTGTGATTCAGCAATATAGCCTGGAAGACCGTGACTGTGGCATGAAGCATGCCGGTTTATCTGCGCGTGTATGGGGAAGGAACGGGAGAGGGCAAACTTTGAAAGTTTTGCCTGTAAGGTCGATCAGAAGGCCAAACTGTGTGTGTATGGGGGGCCTAAGACATCACTGTTGCCCGTGTAGTACAAACATGGGTCATTTGGCTCCACTCTATTAGTGTAATAAATTCCCTTCAGGATTCGATGAATTACCTCTTCTCATATGTACTCTCAATATGTACCCACAGACCGAAGCGCTGTTACCAGAAACACCATGTTTCGTCTTTGGTTGATTGTCTTATGATTCTGACTCTGATTCATCCTGCTCTAAAACATGCAACGGAAGTGGTGTTTTCAGTTTGAGAGAAGCTGAGCTTCTGTCAGTTTGTTTGAGAGATGTATTGTTATTATCAGTTAGTGTGAGTGAAGTTGAACTGTCATCATGTGTCGTTGGAAGTTGTGGTGGGTTTACCTTCTGCAGAATACCTTTAGAGACAGGAACTCTGCTTTTTGGCTTCATACTCTGCCCCAAATAGTCCGGAGGCTTTTTGACCTCCACAGGTTTAATTTGTTTGTCTGGTTTGGCTAGTGGATTTTTAATGGGTGCATATGGAGCTTCCAGTCTGTTTCCATCCGCATCTTCTTCCTCATTATGTGATAGCTGTGATTGTCCCACAGTTGCAAATGGAGGTGGAATTTTTGATGAACTCATTTGCATTGAATTATGAGTTGGTTTGTTATGTTTCTCCTGTTTGGAAAGTGGATTCTTGGTAAGTGAAAATAGGGATTTTATCTTGTTTCCATCTGATGACTTTTTTTTGTGACTTGATGGCTGAGTCTGTCCCACGGAGGGATATTGTAGTGAATTAGTATGTACTGAATTATGTTCTGTGGGCATGGAAAGTGGGTTTTTACTAGATGCAGACTTGGTTTTTGTTCCATCTTCAAATTTGCGGTTGTGTCGTGATGGTTCCTCAGGTGGACTTTCTATTGAAGAAGCTGGAGGTTTCTTCCATAAATCAGTCTTAGACTTATGCAACAATGATGGATGTGTTGGTAGTTGTTCTGAAGATAGTGATATCTGTGATTTATATGATGAACTGCCTGCAATTATGTTGTGTGACAGAGATAACAGAGGTGCTGAACTTGATACTTCAGTAGGTTGACTTCGGTATACGCCATATAATGATTCTAGTTCGCTGCTGCTGTTAGTTGCTTTCATATTCATTTGAGTGCGAAACCAACGAATCTTAAGTCCCATGATGAGAGATATGACCAACAGAATCACGGACAGTGTGGTCAACACCAGGACATCAGTTTCATCTGCAACTGTGGTAAACATTTATTATATTCAACAGTCAGAATATATGCCAGAAAGGACAGTGCTCTTAAAGGAAGGTTGTAGTAATTTTAATATCACCTGTTATCCTGAGAGTTAGGGTATCGATTCTTCTGTCACCGTATATTTGGTATAATTGATTCTCTTGAGTTTCAGAAACATGAGTGAGAACTGCATGAATTTTTGTAATTTTGTTTGTGACGTCGTAACTTGTATACACAAATGGGATCACCAATAAATTGTTAAAATGTTATCTTCTAGAAAACTAAATCTATACTATGCCCTCCCACCACCAAATATTTGGCACTGGGATAAGATTTTATGTTTTCTTTTCCACAATGTTATATCTGTCTGCATATTTTGTCTCTGAAACTGATTAGCAGATTTTGACAAAATTTGGTATTTGGCGTATGTACTGGAAATAATTTGCTGCAGTGTATGAATATGTTTAAGAAAATACAAGGGAAAATGTTTGACTGCATAGAATGATCACTTTTTCAACAAGAGATTCAAATCTGTAACAAACACACATCAAGGAATTGAAGTATTCAGGACTACAGAGGATTCTAATGTGGATCCTGTGTTTAGTAATGGCAATGTGTAGATATGAGCTGTACTGCTGATATAATGGAGGTCCTTATTTTCTCCATCATCAAGATCAAGTGACTTACCCAATAGCACATACTGGTACCTATAGTACAAATGCAATGGTTGGTTGGAACTGCCATGGTTGGTATGTGAGGCACTAGCCAATGGAAAGGGGAACAGAAAGATAAACTTTAAAGGGCCATTGCTTATGTGAACTTGTCCAAGTGTGAAGAATGCTACTGGCATTAGTGGTGCATAGGATGCTGAAATTATGTGTGTTAGTAGGTTTTAAATAAACATAATTTGTTAACATTTTACAAAATACAAGAGAGAGAGAGAGAGAGAGAGAAAGACAAAATGAAAAATCAATGTGTTAGCTGTGGAAAAATCTATATTTGGCTTTCAGTTTGGTGGTAATGACTTAAAGATCATTTTAAATTTTGTACGAAGTAAATCATTCTATAAAACTTTTCTTTTATATGTAAACAGTTACAGTTGTGAAAATGTGAACCTTTGTGACAGCTTACAGCATGAACATAAACTTAATTTATTCTTGTGGAAATTATTTACAGAATTGGAACAGTAAATTGTGTAATTATAGTTCCTGGTGGCCAAACCATATAGATTGAAGCATTTGAAAGAAAGTGGCATTGTAAATTCTTCACAGAATTTCTTACTGTAGAACAGTTTTGTTTCATATACACAGTGTGTTGAGGTTCTGTTAGGACTTTGTTTGTTAAAAATACATGAATTATTTTCAAAATTTCACTCTTTATATTCAAAATAGTCTCCTTCTGAATCAATACATAGCTGGAATTTATTGAAAAGTTTTCAGAAACAGTCACTGTACTCCTTTTGTGGTATCACATTTAAAACTGTGGTAGATTCCCTTTGGATGTCCTGGATGGTGTTGTGACGGTCTCCTTTCATTGCCAACTTAACTTTTGGGATCAACCAGAGATCTGCTGGAGCCAAATCTGGTGAATATGGAGGATCAAGGACTGTGATCCTTTTTCTGGCCCAAAAATTGAGCACAATCTTTGATTTGTGGGGTGGGGCATTGTGGAGGAGCAACCAGGAATCTTGCTCTCGATATTCAGGTCAAATTCTATGAATTCTTGCCCACAAACGATTGAGGACTCCGAGATAATAATCAAATTCACAGTGACCTTCTGGCAGAAATTCCTTGTGAATGATTCCTTTGGCGTCGAAGAAAATGGTTAGCAGTGTCTTTATTTGACTCTTGCATGCACACTTTCTTTGGTTTCGGCTTCTTTGGGCTCAACCACGCTTCACTCTGCTGCGTTGTGAGAGGCTCATATTGAAAACACCATGTCTTATCACCAGTAACAATCGATTTTGTAAATTTTGTATCACTTTGGTCTGACTGTAACATGTCTTTGCCGTGTTCCACTTTGGCATGTTTTTCATCGCCTGACAGTGCATGTGGTACAAACCACGCCCAGACCTTCCATTTGCGCAAATCCTCAGACAAAATTTGATGCACAGTACTTTTTGGTATTCCCAAAAGCTCCTCGATGAGTCTTGCAGAAACACATCTGTCTGATGCAAGGATTTCGGTCACTTTTTTCACATTTTCTTCAGTGCGACTCTCTTGGCTTTGATGCACGTGGAACGTCTTCATTGTCCTCCCTACCGTCATGAAATACAGCATATTATCGAGAAATGTTCGAGCGACTCAAGCAATCACTACCGTACACACTTTTCATCATTTCATATGCTTCTCCAGCTGTTTTGCCTAACTGCAAACAAAATTTGATGTTGGCTCTCTGTTCAACCGCCATTTTCCGATGAGCATCAGAACAGTACTGTTACATTCAAGATCAGAACACATGATGCAGCTATGTTTGCGCTTTGAAATTATAGACAGCCACAGCTGAAATTTCAAGAATCTTAATGCCACAACTCGCCAACAGATGGCATTGCAGGGCAAAATTAAAAAAAATTGAGTCCCAACAGATCCTGGACACACTGTGTATGTAACTATTGTTAGCTGTAGGGAATTCATTCCTACATGTTGTGTTGTTGGGAATTACTGTAAACACTGGAAGTAGCTCCTTGAAAAGGCTATTGAACTGGGTAGAAGACATCTACCCATATCTAACTTCATTTACAGCTCTGATTATATATTGGTAATAATCATCATGAGTACATAAAATCAATACAAAGTCCGTCGAGTGTAACGATGTTTTTTAGGTCACTTCTTTCTCACTCTTGCCTTACATGTTTCGGTTTTAGTAAAACCGAAACATGTAAGGCAAGAGTGAGAAAGAAGTGACCTAAATTGTTACACTCGACGGACTTTGTATTGATTTTATGTATAATAGTGTAACGGACCAAAATGAAACAATTTAAAACAATTAAAAAAAAATCATGAGTACAATTTTGATATAAGGTCATAAAAATTAATTATATAAAAATGATGTTTATGTTTCCATGTCCGTGGGGACAATTTTAAGGACATAAAGACATTATCGTAGAAGTCTATGGTATAATGTTTTCATGTTAACAGACACTTAATTTTATATACATAAATTTTTAGTACATCCCAGTTGACGTTATCCTATATGTAATACTTTAATTTTCCACAAAACAAATATCATTTTGACATCATACATAAATATATATAGCATATAATCCTTCCTATTTCAAGACAAAAGTACAGTCTGCTTGAGCAGTTGAGGTACACGGTTGTCAACTGAAAAGATTATAATGCAGATTTCATTCCAGTTGGGTATAAATGTGGTACACAGCAGAAATCCGTGGCAACATACCTTCAAGCATTTTGTGACACGTAGATATCCTGTCAGGACTGCACTGTTCTTTCTGTTCAGGTTCTTTAATCAATATGGTATATTGAGTTGTATGTGTGCACACACGAGCATTGAGCCATGATCAGTGAATTATCAGTTCCCCACTGTAACATCAGTCACGTTATATGAGACACCAGTCAGTAATTCTATTGATTCAGATAAGCAGACCCCTCCCGTCTTCATACACATTACTTCATACTAGGTCCAGGAATCTTACATGATCACAAGTGATGATGTGTAATCAGGAGAGATAAGATTAAGGGCAGAGAGTAGGCAAGGGGTTTAAATCTCGCCACCATTGTATGTGATGATTCAGTTCTATTTATATTTTCCTTTGTATTAATCTGATAACATTTTAAAGCATGCCTTGTAATGTATGGGTTTATGACATTCAGTGTTATTTGAGTGATAAGGCTGTTGTTGATATTGTACTTATAGCATAAAGAAAATTACCTGCACACACAATCCCCACTTACAGCTCTGAATTGAGAAACATCGCTTTATGCAAGCATATTCTTAAATTCTGGTAATGTATGAGTTATGCAATGTTAATTATTGAATTAGTTATTGTCATGGAAAATATTAGGACATATGGCTTCTTCACTGGTTCTCCTACACCTCTCACCCCTACTAGACTTCTGTGATATAATCTGTTTTGGTTAATGCATGTATATTGCTGTTTCGGTAAAGTATGCATATTGTAATTAGTTGTTAACCTTGTAAAGCACTGTGGATGTTATATGTTTCACCTGCTTTAGCATCAAATTCTCTGCAAATTGCCACCCACTGATTGTATTTATGTGTTTTATGTTGTTCTGAGAACAAACACCAATTATTACTCTTAAATAATATTAGCCAGTTCTTTGTAATGGAGATCCATTGTATTTTCTGTGAAGTGAGAAATTAATTGTTCATAATATTTGGTTGAATTTCAGGCATAAATGGGGTAATTTAATGTAATGGAAGGTCCACAAGGCAGATTGTGTGAAGTCTTTTGTATTGTATGATAACTGCTCTATCTGCTGGCCATTTCTTGAATTGTTTATGAAAAGTCAGAGAGAGTTGCATACCTGAACTTTGAATTGATGCTGATAGAAAAGTTACAGGTCTTCATATTTGAAAAGAAGAGAGGACTTTCTTTCCATCTTTTTATAAGCAATTTTTTTAGAACTCAGGGGGCAGGGCATCATGAGAAATTGCTGCTGGGTCAAACTATTATATTCTCTATTATACAGGTTACCATATTGTCATCAAACTAACCTCTGCTTTAAGCAGCATTGAATCTCTGTTTGGTAATTTTGGGGCTTAATATCATGTACCTTGGAACACAAATTCTTCTTTCAAGCCTTGAGAACTTAACAGTCTTCAATCCACATTTCATTGAGGTACTCTTGCTGCAAGCCTTCTATAATAGTCACCTGTACATGTTGAAAGATAAATTAGAATTCAGATGTTTCTTAGTCTTTTGAAGGATAATGTAGCCATGCTTTCCCTGCATCCAGGTCAGATGTTCAAATCATTTGGCTGTTCATCCATGACTCTGCCTATATAAAACAGTTAAACAGAAGGGGAGCCTTGAGCTGGATGCAGTGAGGTATTCCATATTAGTCACATGACTGCATAAAGATGCCGTTTAAGAGGACAAGCATGAATAAAAGTGTACCATATAACCAGTCTTTCTGGATTTGGATACTTTCCCCCATACACCTCACTGTTGTCCAAGAGTTAGATTTGATTTAAATAAATATTTATGTATCAGCATTTTCATTTCAGTAGCGCAGTTATTTTAAGTGACTGTGTAGTGTTGATGTAGTTTGGTCATTGTTAAAGTGACATGGGGAAAAGTCTTTGTTTTTTGTTTTTTTTTTTGAAATTCTAACCTCATTTTATGTGGCTGTTGCGAGTTCTACTGTTGATTTAAATTTGAGTTTCACAGTTTGCTGACATTTTTGGTTTTAACTGTTGGAGTCATGGTTATATTGAATGTGTCACATAAAGCATGACAGAAGTGTCTGTTTAAATTATTCCTATATCCCATTACAAGGTCTTTATGCTTGTGGAACTATTATACACTTATTTCAGAATGTTCGAAATGGGCCAGTGATGCTTGTTATAATGTTATTTTGGTGTAAACAGTTGTATGTCTTTATTACCTACAGTTTGCCCAGTGGATTGTCTGTAGGAAGATCCAACATTAAGCAAGTTGCTGAACGGCGACGTGTGGATATTGAACGTTTCTTGAACACACTGTTTCTTATGGCAGATGAGATTTCTCATTCTGATATTGTCTATACTTTCTTCCATCCTCTTCTGAGGGACCAACAGGAGGCAAATATCAATGCAACCAAGGTTAAAGGTAATTCTGTGTGTATGATTAGAAATACAGTACTACCCTTCAATTAATTTTGTTTCTGATAGCAAAATTGAAGTTTTGCTGCTGCTATAATACCACTACCTGGCTTTGAGCATGATTCTGGGGAAACTAAATTCAAATTTTCACAAATTGTTTCTTAACTTCCATTTAATGTTATTATCTCACCTCGATCTCACAAGTTGCTGCCCTCTAAGAAATTTCCCTACCACAGTCTTGTAAGGATTTCTTTCCCCTTCTGAGTGATATATTCAATCAATTGAAATTTCATGCCCTTGATAGAAGTGAACTGTACAAATATCAGTTCCTTCTATATACGTTCTTTGGTAGTGCAGTAACCTCCATTTCCCTAACCACTTTCTGTTCAGGTACTTGCAATTTAAACTCTTCTTTCATCTTTCAGTCTTATGTGTTCTCTTTTCAGTTCTGTCCTCTCTTTGTGATGTCATCCATTGCTTGCTAAAT